CAGACAGACAGACAGATAGATATAGATAGATAGATAGATAGATAGATAGATAGATGGATGGATGGATAGATAGATGGTTAGATAGACAGAGAGGTAGATAGACAGACAGACAGACAGACAGACAGATAGATTCATATATATACTGTAAGATTTTACATAATTAGTTCCCTTATAATTTTTGACATAGATTTGTGTGTGGGTGCGTGTATGTTTTATATATATACACTCAAAGGCGACGTGTGTGATGTAAATCTCAGGCAGAGTGAAGGCATCTCAGCCCCTCCCTCATTCTAGAACACAGGACTTCATGTCATTATAATTCATGTTGCCTAGCAACATGGGAGTCGTCATAGAGGCCCAACAATAAAGAGATGACATGTACAGTGATGTGCTGAGCGCTTTAATGCCGAGATATGCCTCCGCCATCTTTTCCTGCTCATCTGTGCTCGAAGGGATCAGAATTAGAAACGCCATTTAAATGCTCTCTCAGTGACATCTTATCACGTCGCGCCGTCAGGCCTCGGATACGCGTTATCTAGCTTAAATCGAACCTCTTGATGACTCCTTTGTGAGCGCTATGCATTTCACAAAACATGTTAGTGGTGTATAAATGCATGATGGGGAGTTTTGCACAAATAAAGGAGACGCACAGAAAGTCACAGTTCAAAAACGATCACATTTAATCAACAAGCCATCCTAAGAGTCTCTTATCCATCAAGACAGTGAGGCGTCACAACAGCAATAAACAAAGTTATTTTCTTAAAGTCTTTAGTTCAAAACAAAACACTTTTCTACCCATGCAACAGAAAGGTGGTTTAAAGGAACCGTTCGCTCAAAAAAACGAACCTTCTGTTGCCATTTACTCGCCTCAAACCTGTATGACTTGCTTTCTTCTGTGGAACGAGGAACATTTTTCAAGAATATCCTGGTTGTTCCTTTCAATCAAATGAAATAGCAGGTCAAATGTGACAACATATTTTGAAAGTGAAAATGTGTCAGTCTTTTCACAAAACCGAATTCAGAGAACCCATAATATAGTGCATTAATCGTATGGACTGCTTTTATAAACCTAAACCTGTATGACTTTCTTTTGTGGAACAAGGTGAATTTTTAAAGAATATCCTGGTTGATCAAATCAAAGGGGAAGTCAAATGGTTGTTTGTGACTAAACGTGTGTCTTTTCCCAACAAAACTGACTTCAGAGAACCTATAATGTAGTGCATTAACCGTATGGACTCCTTTTACTATGCTTTTATGCTGTTTTGTCATTTTAGAGTTTGACAGAGCTCGCTTCAATGCATGCTCTTCAAATAACCTCCTTTTGCCTTCCGTAGAAGCAAGCAAGTGATCAGAACGACATGAGGGTGAGTAAATGACGACCATATATTCGATTTCAGGTGAACTGTTCCTTTAGGCTCGGATGGGGTCCTGATACGACTGAATTCAAGTCCCTGTTTCTCTACATCCGTTGGTGTTGGTTGAGGTGAGGTCAGTCTGAGACCCAGAGGCTTGCCCTCGACGTCTCTCCGGCGGGGCATGTGCACCTGACGCCCCCAGTGCTAAACGGGCCACAGTGAGTCCTGAGGGGAAGGGTAGATTGTAGGTGTATGACCTGCAGTTCTTCTAGTGTTTGAGTCCGGTTGTATGACGTGGATCGGTGGCGGGTTCTTCAGAAGAACCAGCGGAAAGTGTCGGCGGCTCCTACTGACGGTGCTCTCTGAGGAAAGACACAAGAGACAGTGGGAATTCTGGAGAGATCCCATTTAAGCTTGATATGATGACCCAGTTAATCACAGAAATTATGTGTTAGATGTTTGTACAATGGTGTGAATCATCTTAGCACTAAGATGCAATGATTCAAAATATTGATTCATCGAAAATAAGAATTAAATTGGGAAAACGCAAAAAACAGACCAACCCGACCATCTGTATGCAAAGGCCCTCGCAACCGTGTTTCCGTTGAACCGCTGAGACGACTGTTTATGTAACGATTATTGTTGACTCTTTGACGAAATGCTTTTGTTTCTCTTTGGATAAAAGCGTCTGCTAAATACATAATTATGAAACATTTAGTCACTGCCTGGATTTGATCAAAGTTTGTGAGGATTGAACAACAAGAGTTTTGTTGGAGACACTTAGTAGCATGTAAACTACTTGTCCAAGAGTACACATTTTGTACTAATTTCGTCAGTATTTTCTCTGGCACGCTGGTCTACTGTGGGTTCATTGATTGCATATTACTTTGAACCATGGGTAGATGTCTTGGATATCTAGTTTACTTGCTACTAAGGCATTTCTGTAGCTCAAAAAGTAGAGCATGCCATTGGTGACATCAAGGTTTTGGGTTCAGTTCCCAGGGAATGCATGAACTGATAAAAAAATATATATCAGGAATTCAGTTTAAGTCGCTTTGGATAAAAGCATCTACCAAATGCATAAATGTAATGTCAAACAGTTCCCGGAGCATCCCCAGCACTGCACATCTTGGATTTTTTCCTTAATTATTATTATATGGAGACATCCCAAATGCAGTGCCAAGGAGGCTCCAAACAAACTCTTAAATCCCGTCCTCACCAAGAAGGGTAACTATAATGGTAAGTTTTAATTCTTTGAGAATAGTGAAGTCCACACCACAACTATATCGACACAGAGGAACCGTATTGTTTGAATCACTTTCAGAATATTTTTTTTCCAGGTGCTGAATGATAAAAACAGCCACATGGAATCCATCCGACTTTAAAGCGGCAGAACACAAAGCTGCAATGCACGCTTAGAATAAACTGAACATCACCTTTATTGGTGTGAACAGGCCTTTAAAATCTTCAAATTGACCATAGTTCAGAAAATTTTCACAGGCGAAATCCAGTCATTTCAATGGGAAAGATAATTGATTTGAAAGTCACTTTGACCCCTCTGTACACTTTTAATAATACAGCTAATGCGATCACTTTTTAAATTGGCGGTTCTTGGCCAGATTAAGCTCTCCACAACTAGATCTGATGGTACTGGGCTGGTTTGTGATGGTCTGATCTTGATTCTGGTGAGTTGTGTTAGCGGGTTGTGAATAGATTAAGCTGTCTTTGTTTTATTACAGAGCACTTGCAACATGTTGCCTCATCTCTCAGCCTTCAATACCGGCTGTGTGTGTGCGTGTGTGTGTGTGTGCGAGAGCGATAAAGTGTGTGCTTGAGTCTAAGGGCATTTTTCCAGCCTAAGAGGGCTCAAACCATCAGCTAACACACACACACACACACACACACACACACACATTAATGCATGATGGTTAATTATGGCCGCTTGTGCCAAGACTGGGCTCTACTCCAAACCCCCAGCCACATCATTCCCAATTAAACAGCCCACTTCAATAGACCTCCCGGCATATGTGTGAGTGCATGTGTGAATCCCACCT